ATTGAAAGACATTCCAAATTCTTTACTAGTAAAATTGTCCAACACTTCTAATAACTCATTAGAAAAGAACATTTTAAAATTTTTAGTGAGATCTTAAAGAAACTTATTCTATTCGTAAACTTTATCAGACAATTTGTGCATATGCCAACCAGGAGGCAAAATGTTTAATTGATTATTTTGATAAATCCTAGAAATTTTATCTTGTTCAATTAAGAAGTATATTAATGGTTCATAGAAATGTTCAGCAAAATTACTAAATATTTAATTTGAAAGTTTAACTTAGGATCAAGAAGCCATGACTGAAAAAGTTGTTACTCATTTAGATATGAATTTGGCAAAGGTTTTTTTTTCATTTTATTAATAAACCAACAAGTAAATTCAAGATGTGCTGAACATTGATCCAGGTATTGCTTTGCTGTTCATAACTCATAGTCCCATCAGGATCAAAGCAGCAATTGGTATTGATTATAGTGATATCCCAGCAATCCATTATACAAATTCTTGATTATTTGTGAATTAATATTGAGCAACTTGTCTTTATTGCTTGAATCATAGCTGTCATATAATTTCTATGCAAGATAAAGCAAATTATAAATATGTGGCTTCTTTGAAAATCCTGTAGTATTTGAGAGTATACCAAAATCCTTCTGTTCAAAATGGGTCATTATAATTTGAATTATATGGAGGTCACAACTAATTCATAATGTGTTTTCATTTGTTTTGTTATTAAAAAGAGCTACAGCTTCTTTTTTTTCATCTGACATATATGAGGTATTGTCTGTTACCCATAGTCTACATTTTTTAACATCCAATCCACTTTTTTGAATATGCATGATTACAGTATTTGTTACAATTTCAGCATTACATTTTGTAATATTTTGTAACTGAGCGACCATCACAATAGGCATTTAATTTTCATTACTTCAGAATTGATAACAGAGTATTAAGTTTTTAATTTGTCCCTATATTGACTCATCTATCATTACACCAAACACAGGTGCATTCATTGCTTAAAGAATTTGTTTATTAAAATTCAACTCTGAAACATCTTGGTGCTATGTATGTAGGGTGGATATTGATAATATTTTTTGAGAGGGTTCTCTAGTTAGAAATTCATAAATTAATCGCATACATTCAATAGTGGAGTGTAATGATGTCTGGCCAACTTGTAGAATGCTCGTTACTAGTCAAATTGTATTTGAAAAATTTGATTTTTTATTTGACATAAAAATCGATTTGACATTTTCACGAAATTCTTTATCAGTGATTTTCTTTGAAACTAAAGAACAGATTTCTGAAATATGCTGCGATTTTTGATTCTGAAGGTGCTGAGTTTTAGTACCAAGAGATTAAGTTCATCTAATAAGAGCCTTATTCTGCTAATAAAGTTTTTTATTTTTTTTTTCTAACATTATATTTAATTTTTATAAAGATTAATAATTTGCATAATACTTAAAAAGATTTTGTATAAGGTAATTGTATATTTTTCATTGTAAATATGGTGAAATTATATTTTCTGTACTTTGACCCTTTGGATATCACATGATTGAGACAAGATTGATCACTGGTAATAGATCCTTTTCAGGTAATTCTTGTATTATTGAAGTTAAACAAGTTCACTATAAATGTTCTTTATGTGTAATTATTATTTTATCAATTAATATCTCTTCATTAGTGGTGCATACTCTGTTGTTGGATATTTCATTGGTGAATACTTCATTGGTGGATAATTCATTAGTGGATAATTCATTAGTGGATAATTCATTAGTGGATGCAGAATGTTCTTTTAATAATTTATTTCTTTGTTGTTTTTCAAGATGTATTCTATTGACATTTTTTAATTGGAATCAATGTTTATTTGATCTATAAATACCTATTGAATATTATGAAATATTTAAATAGATGTCTAGCCCTTGAAACCAGTTATTCTAAACCCAAATTTTGCACAAATCAAGATTAAGTCTCAAAGAATAAAGTTATGAAACCAAATAAACCTTTCTATTAAAAAAAAAAATCAGTTACCTAAAGAATTTTTAAGTGAATGAAGTAAAGACTGCACTTAAAAAAGACCAAAAAAAATGGAATTCCCATAGACAATGTAAAAACAAGCTTTGTAACTTTGTAAATATGATAACAATGAGCAAATTGACATGAAAAATTTTTGAATAAAAAAAAAGATGTGACCTGCACATCTAAAAAGGTGGACCATAGTTTTAAACAGTTTTATATTTAAATCGTATTATATCAATGATCACTAAAAAAATCAGTTCTAATTAAAATTTCTAAGGGACCACATATAGTTTTGATTTACATAGTTTGCCGCACACCCCAATGTCACATGCCTAGTTAGGGGCTGATTCGAGACAAAAGCTGCCTCCATACTATCGTATCGAGCAGCTATAGATATTATCCGTAATAAAATTTTTTAAATATTTAAGTTTTATATGTAAATACATTATCTTGAAAGAGTTTTTATATAAATTAATTATATATTTATCTTCGCAAAATTTACTGAGAATCGTTCTAACAAAGGTAACCAATTATAATCTTAATCATATAAATATCAATCACGTGCATCATGCGCATCATGCGCATCATGCTTGTCATGCGCATTTTTGCATAATGCGCATTTTGCCCATCTCTAGGTAGAATACGTATGTAAATTTTAGTAGATATTATGGGAACCACAATTTTAGCATCAGCATAAGCTACAACATTAATTTATCAGTTGTTGTCAATATTATTTATCATTGAACCATAATCGGGACCGGACGATTCTGGACCAAGGATGAAAATCACCTGGTCCTCCGGTCTTTACGAAGACCGATCCATCCCGAAACTTAATTATTATATCGTACGTATTTAGTCTGTAGATGATTACGTAATGATTACTTTTTGTATTCACTAGGGATTGGAACCGCCTGAGATTTTCTAAACGCTTGACTATTTAACCGTGTTAACCGTTTAGTTCAACTAGTATTAAAATAATTCTTGCTTATGATTAATATAATTCAGCCCGAAATTATGAACCAATTTTTAAGTGGTAAACGGTTCCAATCTTTATTAGTAATCATAAAAAATTTTTTTTATAAAAAGTTATTTACAGAATTTGAATAAAAAATGGTACATATGTAAATGTTTCGAAGTTTCCAATTGTGCATGCCTTTCATACATGCATACGTACGTACGAAGTTTCTATGCAAGAATTAAACAAAGGGACAGGTATGTACATGCATTCAATGCTTATATGTATAGAAATAAAGTTTTGTTAATAATTCCAGTTTAATATAATGAATTAAATGTGTTCATGCAGTTTTACCGCTTACCTAACATACCTCCATGTTTCACTTTTGGTTGACCTGTAACCGAAATTAGATATAAGCAGTTAAATTATCAGTATAAAAAATTCGCTGTTTAATTAAATTCAATTGTTTATACTAGTAGTAAATTTATACAAGTGTTACTTTAAATGTCTAAAGTATCAACACTAAATGAGTGATTGTTTCAGATATAGTATACGTATTAATATACACAAATATAATATTGCCAATTTTCCGTGTTCTTGTATCATATATGAACATAGAAGATTGTTTATTTTACATTAATATGGGTGTCGCAAAGCGGAAACTTGTGTAATTTTGATTTTATAGAAATGAGCTTATAAACTATTTCCTGTAAATGAAATTTCGAGTTTTCGCTTTATAGCATTCATATACAGTTAAAGCATATAATATATTTTTTGAAGTATAATTACCAATAAAATTTGTATCTTATCAATTCAAAATCTCTAAACAATTATTGTCTTTTTCGCCATTTTGCCTTTTGGAAATTTTTTTGCCAAAAGCCAAATCAGGTTTCATACAGTATAACAATTTTAGATTGGTTTATCAACTTTAAATAAGTTATGGATTGGATGATCAACTTTAAATTATAATTCTGACAGATAAGTCTTATAATATAAAAGTTTCTTTTGGATAACTTTTTGTGATTTTCGGTTCGCACTTTTTTGCGCCGAAATATTTGAGTGATTGAATCTACTATTCGAGAATAAGTGTTTCCTCATTTTAAAGTTCTTTTGGTACGTCAATTCTAAGTAACATTCTAGGCTTTCGGAAGTACTGTATACGTATGTACGCACTTCGTAGATAATGCATTAATTGAAAATAGCTATTTCCTAAATTATCGATTTCAATAAAAATTTGCCTTTCCTGCCTTTCCTATTGGTCGTACTCTCAAGATGAACATCACCTGAGCATTTCTGCACACTTCTACAAAAAAACTAGAATGTGATTATCGACAATGGGCTACCTTTTTTTTTTGTATTGTATTTTTTTTTTTTACGCATTTATTCATTTTAAATTTTTTTTTTTTGTGCATAATTCTGAGACAGTTTCAGAACCACATAATACTATTTACCATAACGATAATGTAATTAAAGTTACAACGAGCTACGCATACGCTCCTACTTTAAAAAAAAAAAACAACTGAACACTTGAATTTAATAAGATTCTGTTCGTCATGCATACTACTAACTAACTATGTTAAAATCTATTAACCATGTTTAAAATCTAACAATGTGTTAAAATTTACTAACTAACTATGTCAAAATTTCCGTAAAATATGTACATTCATTTAAAGTTGTACTATCACACTGTACTACTTTATTAACTGAAATAGTTTGATTTTCGATAAAAAAAAAAAGCCGAACATAAACATAGAATGACAATATGCCATTGTCTAACCGATAATGATAGGCAATGAGCAATACACATGCCATGCACATAATTATGCATATAGTCCTGCAAGATATCGTAATGCTGGCCAAATTAACTATATATATATACTTATAACAATCATCGATAATGAGCACGAAATTTTTTGTAATATATTCTCATATGAATCTTTAAAAGACTCAATTATTTACACGTTTATGAAATTTTCATCTTGAAAAAAATACATAAATAAATAAAATCTGATTTTAATAAAAAAAAGATTTTCAAATGGAACAGCAAATTGTAAAGACTGGATGTGCCTCTTTCGTTGATGATACTTACAGATTGCTCAATGAACTAAAGAGCATTATAAAAAACCTTAAGAAATGCAAAAAAATTCTTGAACCAATCATTTATACCTCAGTTGAAACGATTCGGGGCTTAAATTATATAAAATATGAACTAGAACCATATTTTCAACAATATGAAGATACCCTTAATAAATATAAAACCTCGTTAGAAAGGATAAAAAAATTCGCAAAAGAAATAGAAAAAATAGAACAAGAATCTTATGTCTTTTATCCATATATACAGGTGAATGAGGAGTATGATAAATTGATAACTGAGCATAAGATTTGTGAAAAAAACTTAAACTCAATTCTGATTAATGTTATCATTGTTAAACAAGAAAAACAACAAAAAGATTTTAGAGACATTCATGAGGTATATTTGTGTTAATAAAATTTTTATTAACTATTTTTAATTATTTCATTTTTTAAATTTTTTTTTTGTTTATAGATATTGAAAACTATTCCTGTTGATAATAAAAATCAAACATTAATCCAAATCGAAAAAATAATAATCGAAAGATCTGTTTTAGATTTCAGTGTTCCACGTATTTATTCGTCATTATTGTCTGATCCTCCTGTTGCAAATGATCCAGATAAGAACCAAGATGAGCAAGATGACCGCGTACAACCAAAGCAAATTGTAAAAAAAATTTACAAAGGTAGTATTGAAGTGGCATGTGAGCCTATTACTTTTTACAGCAATAACATGTCAATGTTGGCTGAATTAAAGAGATTTAATGATAATCGAAATATCCTTAAATTTTATGGAATTTGGAAGATTGATGATGTTGAAATGTTGGTCTTTGAATGGTCTGCCTTGGGTAGTTTAAAAAACGTTTATGAAAAAGGAAAAATTTCATGGGATTTAAAAGTGAAAATAGGACGCGATATCTGTCAAGGTTTATTATTTTTAGGTCATCTTGGCATTTTTCATCGTGATATTCGATGTGAGAATATAATGGTACGTCTTATTTTTAAATCCCATATCTTTAAATTCCGTTTTTTTTTAACATTCGACTTATGACATCATTGTATTTATCGTAGTTGACCAATTATATGGAACCAAAGATCACTAATTTTTATTACGCCAAACATGTTTTGGAAGCGGATAAAGGTAGTGATGACTTTATCTTGAATATTATTAATTGGGCTGCTCCTGAAATGATGAAAACGAATTCAAGATATACGGAAGAATGTGAAGTTTTTAGGTATTTTATCATCACATTTTTGTGTCTACTATTATATTAACATTATACATATTGGTTATTTGATTTTCATAGTTTCGTGATGCTTTTATGGGAACTAGCCTACCAAAAAATCCCTTATCAAAAAATGGCCAAAGATGAAATTATTATTCATGTTACTCAAAATCGTAGAGAAACCGAAGCGCAACCTTTTTATTCACTAGACCTTCTTCACGCTCAACGGAAATATTTAAGAATCATTAAAGAAGGTATTGATATAAATTACTTTTCAAAATAATTTTCATTTCTTTTACAAATTATGTACTAATGTTTTACTCTGTAAAGGGTGGTGTGGTAAACCAGAAAAAAGGATTACTATGGATGAAATTTTATTGAGACTTTCAGAGATTGATATTGAACTTATTAAAAATGAGGCAAATAAATTGGCTCAATCATATGGTAAACTCGATCAGCCCTCAAATATATTTAAATTGCTTGAAATAGACATTTTAGATGGATCTCCAATTTTTGTTGAATCTAACCACCAAAGATGACGTTTTAACGGATCATCTAAAGTAAATGGTAAATAGTAAATGCAAAGTGTACTAAATAGTAAATATAGTAAATGTAAAGTGTACAGTCAATCATTTATACAACAAACCCCCTATATAGCAACTTATGTATATAGAAAGGTTAAAAAAGTTAACTGGAATCGATTAGTTTTGTAAAAAAATACCATATTTTGTTTAATTCCATTTTTTACAATAAAATAAGATGCATCTTGAAGTAAGTTCATTCCAGTTTAATCCATAATTTTCGTAAGCAGAGGTAAAGATCTATACATTCAGTAAATGTTATATAAAATTAATTTTATCATTAGATTATTTGTACTACCGTGGTAATATATATTTTGATATTATTCTTGAATTTGTTTGTGCATTTCGATTATATTTAATTTCCAGGCCAATGGTTGCACACATTCGATCTTTTTAAATATTATTGTTTATGGTCATATGTTTTATGTTTTTCTAGTTATTATTTTTTCTCATTTTTCTGCTTTACATATATCTCGAATAACTATTTACTTATTAAATATTGTTATTAACTTAAATTTGAGTTAATTTCCGTACAATAATTTTTATTATTAATATATGGTGAATGCTGGAATTAACCTAAAAAATTAATAAGATGTGTTAATTTCAGCATTACCCGGATTTAATTGATTATTATTGCCGAAACTGTTGGGTTACATAAGACATTGTCAAAACAATTTATTGTAAACTTTAACATGTATAAACACCCAATATAAAAAATATACAAAAACTAAATTTTGGGTCTAAGAGCTAATGAGTAACTATAGTATTTAAATAACAAATCAGAAGACATAGTTGTTTGACCAAAAATAATTTATCTATGAAATGTACTCAAAATGCTTGACTTAAAAAAATTCAATTATTTCACTTTAATTTGGTTTTTTTTTTGGTTACATTTCTCATTTCTTAACCATTTCTAAATGATTAGGATATTCAGCCTTTATTAAGGAAATTTAATAACCATAAACAATTAATTTTTATATCGAAGTCCATTAAGTAGTTTTTGCTCCTTTCTTATACGACCTCATGGGCTTGTGATTCAGCATCATCCGTTTTCTTCCGAAAAGGAAATATAGATCTTTTTTGATTTGTTGATTGGCTTTGGTGTGTTGGGGTGATTTCATGAGTTTGTGGCTCAACATTTTCCTCTTTTTTCTTAAATACTTTAGTAATGCGTGCCCACATTGACATGCAGATGGTTGTTGATTGGCTTTGGCGTGTTGGGGTGATCTCATGAGCTTGTGACTCGACATTTTCTTCTTTTTTCTTAAAGAAGTTATTAGCGCGTACCAAAAATGACGTGCGGCTTGTTGTTGGTCGGCGACTTGTTGTTGGTCTGCTTTGGTATGTTGGAGGTTCAGGAGGTTCCAACCTTCGACTTAAAATGATACTGTAAGTACAGCACCAAAGCGCTCCAACAACTACTAAGACTATTCCGGCAATAATGCCACCAGAAATATCATTATGCGGATCACAAGGAATTGAGTATCTAGAATATGAAGTTGAGTAACTCGTATATGAGCCAGAAGATTCAAATTTGTTTTTTAGGCATTCATAATAGGCATTAGATACTAAATATCCTGATAAAACACCAGTACCAGTAGCAAAAGTGAAAAAGCTTATCCACAGACAATTAAGTAAGCTAGAATTATTGCCCATAATATATATATAATAAAAAAAAAACCCCCCGTTAAAATATCTTATTTTAATAATATGAGTTTTTTTATAAAAATCGAAATGTCGAGAAAAAAAATTAGATATAAATTTGTCCTAGTTTATTATTTAAAATAGAAAGTTACGTATAAGTTTGCTGATTCAATTGCTGAAAAAAGGACGTTATTTCAGGCTCACACGTATTGATTAAATGGTTATCAGTAATATAATCCTATATATATATATAATAAATGTTAATTTAGATTAATAAGAAATATAATATGAATTTATCTAAATCTTTGGTGAAAGTTTTTATACTATTAATGTCTTTACACCAGTAAATTTTGCGGTTTTCTCGAATTTTACGTAGGTTTTCTATTTCACAAGTAATAACAATATCGTCTTTCTTATCACAATAATTTACTCACGTATGCTAGATACATACGTTCGATATTTTGATAATATTGTTATTGAATTGAAAATGTAACAAAAAAATAACTCCAACGATTAATATTATATATATATATTTCAATAGCATGAATAATAAATTTATTGATTCTATAGCATTTAGAGTAAAATTTGAATCCAAATTTTACGACCACTTATATACTGTACATTTCGTTAATGAAAAATTATTATAAGTAATATAGTCAATAGTTAAATGACATAATTAAATTAGAAAATATCGCTCAATGATAATCTTGTACGTACTAAACTAATAAACTAAAAGGGATTTTCTAAACCACAAAAAGTGACACAGCACTAAAACAAATTGCCATTATAGAAAGCAACGCCTTTTAACCATGGAAATTCTATTTCATTATTGGCATACTTCATATCATGTTTATATAACTTTAAAACATATTAAAGATAAGATGTAAATGGGCGTTCCCTTTTTATTTATGATTAAATGCTAGAAGTATTTTAAAACTTTAAAAAATAAATTTGGCTGTCTCTATATTAAAATTTTGAGACTATCTGTCACGTTACGACATTGCCCGAACAAATTAAGCGAGACGCAAAGACAAAAACACGAAAGCTATAAGAAATGACTATCTAAACCTGTCTTAGTCACTAGTAAAAGTGTCAGAAATACAACTTTACTGTATATATCTACTACTTTCCTAACCTAGTTTAACCTTAATCCTAATATTAATCGATTTTAATTAAAAATCGGCAAAATCGTAAGGTATCAGGCTTTAAACGTCCTCCATCTGTTTAAATTAAATCAAGTTCTATGACTTATATTTTCGATGTAGTATTTATTCAGCCAATGGATAATCTAATCATCATATGATTTTTGAGCTCCAGTTTAATTGTCGGAATTCGTTTAACGTCCTTGTTTATGACTAAGATCGTATCTCGAAAAATTCTTTTTAAATTATAAATAATATTTTCGCAGCATGAGGCGAGAAAGAGAATATATATAATAAAATTAAAATTTAGGTGAATTAAAGTATAAATAGAAAGGATATGTAAACACAGAATCATTTGGTTCGCCTAATAATATATCTATTTTTTTTATTTTTGGTTTTAACGGGCCAATGATTTGCCCAAGCGTAGGATGATTAGCAAATATTTTACTTTAAATTCTCTAAGAAAGCTTACTGCATAAATTAATTATATTAATGGCAGTTTTTTCAGGCTACACGAAGTATTTTTAAGATGTTTCAATTTTTTAAATGGTTATAACTTTTTATCTAAGAAGTTTTAAAAAAATCTGACCGGTAACTTTATAGAGCTATATCAGCTCTACATATGTGCTAAATATCTTTTCAAAATTTTATCACTGTAAAGAGTTGATGCGTTTTGAAAATCGAAATTTTATATGTAAATTTATAAATTTACATATAAAATTTCGATTTTCAAAACGCATCAACTCTTTACAGTGATAAAATTTTGAAAAGATATTTAGCACATATGTAGAGCTGATATAGCTCTATAAAGTTACCGGTCAGATTTTTTTAAAACTTCTTAGATAAAAAGTTATAACCATTTAAAAAATTGAAACATCTAAAAATACTTCGTGTAACCGTTGAGTATAGACTTCCAGCACCATAATAAATGTTAGAGACTGATTGTCACGAATTGTCATCCTCTGTATAATCACATAGCGATTTTTATTGGACAAAAAATATAAACAAGTATCAGGTGATATCAATTACGTAACTTCTAACAAACCAATTACAACTCAACCACGTGAATTTGCATATATTTGTTTATATAGAGGGTGATGATCATCACTGGGTTAACGTTAATCGTTGTAATAAAATAATTCTGTTCATTATAGAACTTCATGTTTTAAAAATTAATATTTTGTCTGCCAACTAAGCCCCCAAAAAAACATAACTACTGTATTAAAACAATATATGTCGGACAGGTCCTATATATAAGAACTTTTTTAATTGCCATATAATCATGTGATAGGCTTCTATTTTTGTCGAACCAATTATCAATTAAAACAAATCGAAAAGCATTGCATGCGTGTGATATATCATTAATTGGATGCACAGGCCATTAGTGCTAGAAACTTTATTGATTTTTGAGAACGTGCAATATACATCAGTACAATTAATGTACAGACTGATATGGGACTAGTGATGTGCCGCGTATAGTACAGCTAGAGATGGGCACGCGCGGGATTTTTGATATGTTCCCGAAATAAGATTATTCGGCCGGCATTACCATAATATCTGACTAGCATTAATATAATATCTGACCTGCATTAACATATTTAGCCAATTCCTAATTATTTGCATACCTTTCACACATATGTTTATTTATATATACGATAAAAATTTACCTTCTTTGCCGTTGGTATCTTTCGCTTACATTACAAAAATATTCTTTATCATTAAGTCGCTCTTTTAAAAATAAATAACATGCGTAGTAATAATAATATTTGGAATCATCTTACAAAAATTGGATCAGATGAAACCTTTAACCAAGGACGTGCTTAATGTAATTACTGCTATTAAACCTTGCAAAAAATACGTGGAAATTCACTATTTTGATTGACCAACGGCAACGACCAAAAGTTTAGACTAAATTACTCGAATTTTTAGTAAAGAAATCGTGGCCGCCCATTAAGTGAAATTAGGGTTTAAATGTTTGTGGTTTAATGAATCCCGCGCGGGATTTTTTGAAAAACCGCGATTTGCCCATCTCTACGTGTAACGTAACACGATAGAAAGATTCAAAAAAAAGTTCGTTCAGCCATAACTCAAAAACCAGCATAACAAACCACATGTTTTACTCTAACAGAAAGTTTCGTTAGACAATTTTGCCATTATTCTTAACGAATTTTAAGAAATTTGTCTGCATCATAATCTGGTACACATTACCTGGGTGCCTAATTTTAACAGAAATAGATAAAGTATTTATTTTCAAATGAGCGATATACAAACTTTATTTCATTTTCCGATAAATTTGAAATGACTTATTTGTCATTCTCTGATTGAATACAAATAAAATATTTTGAACAACCCCTATCACTAATGAAAATCTATACATTTTGAAATTACCTAAAAAGTATGTGATAGACTTTAAAATTGCAGCCCCCTGATCCTTCTGAGTACTTACTTCGTTGAAATTAGAATTTAGATCTAAACAATAAACGCATTTACATCACATCAAAAGATTATGGTTCTACTAAGCTTAATCTTTCAATTTGTGCCCTCTTTTTATAATTAATATTTAATCTGATTAGTAGTTTCTTTATTTAGCTTTAATGATTTTTTTTACTTAAGAAGGCAAGGTTTTTAGATTGTTTTTGTCTGAATTATCCTCATCTGTGTACGTAGTTATTTAAATTAGATCCATTTATGTGACTGTATATTTTGTTATGTATTGTGATGGCGGATTTTTAGATAGGATTTAGGTAGAAATAATAAACGAATAATAAAGTAACTACAATGGCAATGCATAGACTACTTACCTAGTGATGTGCCGTTTATATTGTTGGGTTCGGAAGTTTGCGACTCTGTCGCTCCAAAATTCTAAACCTCGTGTAACGTATGACAAGTAACCTTTTCGAAAGAGGGTGTTAGATTTGGCTTGTGGGCGAGAAAGGCTTTCGGTTACTTTGG